CACGAAGGAGAGGAGAAGACTGGCTTCTGAGGCTTGACACCTGCCCTTCTGGGGATGGGGACAGGGCAGCCTGGGGAGCCCCGTCTTTAACACCTGTCCTCTCTCCCCGCCCCTCCCCTCAGGGAAGTGGCAGCCAGCACAGTGTCTGGCAGAGGGCGCTACTGAGCCTGGAGCGATACTTCTACCTGATCCTGTTTAACTACTATCTCCATGAGCAGGTGCGGTGGGGAGGAGCAGACCTGCGCCCCCTCCTCCCAGGCTCCTCCTAGGGCTCTCCCACCCCTCCCCACCACGGTGACTGGCTTGCTGTGGAGTGGGACCCTCGAGAGCCGGGAGGAGAATTAGGGGAAGGCAAGCAGAGACCCAGATAGAGGGTGGTCCCTGAGCAGGCCAGGTGTGGGGAGGCCCCACCTCCCTCCCTGGGCCCAGCCCCTTCACCCATAGCCAGAGCATCTGCCGTCCTGGCCTGCTCTCCCCCAACCCTTCGTCCCTGCCCTGGGCCATGCTGGGTGTCTCCTGGGGTTCCCCCGACCACGGGGCGGGCAGGGAGCATGAGGTGGCCCTGTGCCCCTGAACCCCCATCTCTCTCTGCCTCGGGCTGCAGTACCCGCTGGCCTTTGCCCTCAGTTTCAGCCGCTGGCTGTGTGTCCACCCCGAGCTGTACCGCCTGCCTGTGACGCTGAGCTCAGTGGGCCCCATGGCCCCCGGGGACCTCATCGCCAAGGGCTCCCTGGTGAGTGTGGCCGGCTGTCTGGGACATGGGGACTGGCCCTGGGGCCCGGGACGCTTGGTTCCTGGGGCTGGGCAGAGCACTGCCCTCGCAGGAGGCTCCTGTGAGCAGAATGGGGTCATTCTTGGTTCCCAAGAAGCATTTGCAGCTCCGGCCACTGTTCTAGCACCTTCTTCTCAGTCTCAAACCCAAGGGCTTTGGGCAGGGTGCCAGGAGGTGTGGGTTCTGTCACCTTTGTCACCAGCTTGTCTCTGTGCCTCAGTTTCCTCACCTGAGAGTGAGCACTGTCACTCTGATCCCTGCCAGGGTGCTGGTGAAGCTCCAGGTGTGCAGCCGTGCTTTGCAAACTGTAAAGTGCTGGCTTTGCCCCTCCTCTGCCCGCCACGGGCCGGGTCCTGACCTGTTGGTGGCGGCAGGTGGCTGCTGTGGGACCCAGGCTCGGTGCTCTCCCCACAGGCGGCGGACGATCTTACCTCCCCGGACGCGCTCAGCACTGTCAGGGAGATGGACGTGGCCAACTTCCGGCGGGTGCCCCGCATGCCCATCTACGGCATGGCCCAGCCCAGCGCCAAGGTGACCCTCCTCGGGGCCCGGGTGCACTTGTGGGTTTGGGAGGAGAGGGCCGAGCCCCGTCACTGACGGAGTCCCGTCCGCCCAGGCCCTGGGGAGCATCCTGGCCTACCTGACCGACGCCAAGAGGAAGCTGCGGCGGGTCGTCTGGGTCAACCTGAGGGAGGAGGCTGTGCTCGAGTGTGATGGGCGCACCCACAGCCTGCGGCGGCCCGGGCCCCCCGTGGCCCCCGACCAGCTGGAGGTGAGGCCTCTGGCCTCTCTACGCCCCTGCCTTGGAGGCCTCCTGGGGAACTGGCCTGGGAGGGTCTTCAGAGTGTCCCACGCTCCTACTGTACATGGGGAGAAACTGAGGCCCCGGGAGGCGCAGTCTCAGGGAGTGGCTGATTGGGGTCTCCTCCCTGGCCCTGGGGGCAGTGGTGACCCCTGAGGCTCTGGGGGCTCGGGGATGGGCTGGAAGCCAGGGCTGGTCCTGGCCGTAGCAGGACTGGCCTGCAGGCTGCCTCAGTGGCCAGTGCCCTCTGGCCTGCCCTTCCCCAGGCCCTGGAGGCCCAGCTGAAGGCCCACCTGAGCGTGCCTGCCCCGTGCACGGAGCGCCCGCCGGCCCGCAGGTTCCAGACCTGCCTCACCACGCAGGAGGTCTTCAGCCAGCACCGCGGGGCCTGCCCCGGCCTCACCTACCACCGCGTCCCCGTGCCAGACTTCTGCGCCCCCCGTGAGCAGGTGAGGGGCGGGCAGGGCAAGGCCTCTGGGGACGGACGGACGGCGCCTCCGCTCTGGCCCGGGCGCAGGGAGGGAAACCACCCAGCTCCTGTGGGGCCTGCGGCTGGTCTGGGAGGTTTTCAGATTTGTCCCGAGGGCTTTGTCCACGTCCTCCCAAGCTTTGTGTATGCGCGCGCGTGTGCGTGTGTGCACGTGCACTTACGTGTTGCGTGTGTGTTGCGGATGGGCACGTCCGTGGCGTTTGTGGTGTGTGTCTTGAGAGTGTGTGTGGGGCATGCAGTGCTGTCTTGGGGGGTGTGTGTGTGTGCATGTGTCTATGGAGTTTGTCCTTACCGGGGGACGTGTGTCTTTAGGGGAGGGCGTGTGTGGCGTCGGTTTGTGGAGAGGATGGGATGGAGTGCTGTGTGTGGCTCTGAGGGTGTCTGCACACGGCGTCAGTGGGTCAGGACGTGTGTGTCCCTGTGGGTGTCTGTGTAGTTGTGTCTGAAGGTGCGCGGACGCAGCTGTGGGTCCTGCGTGCTGTGCGATCGTGGTGAGTGGGCTCGAGTTCCCTCACTCTGCTCTGTGGCTCACACCGCCTGCAGCGTGACCCTGGTGGCGTGTGCTGCAGGGGCCGGGGCTGGGTCTGGCTCAGGTGGGTGGCGAGGCCAGGGCTCCTTGTGCGGCCCGGGGCATGGCCCACGGGGACACACACATGTGTGTGTCCTGCCTGGGGAGGGTGGGCCAGTCGAGCGCCAGGCGCGTGCCACACGCCGTACCTGCTCACACACCAGTGTGGGGTGACAGGTTGCCACCTTACACGGGGTGTAGCTGTTGACATGCGTGTGGTGCCACGTGTGCCGCAGTGAGTCACGTGTGCGCACGCGGGCTCGTGAGCCTGGCGCAGCCACCAGGCTGCCGTTTGGATGGGGCCTCTTGGAGGCACCCACTGACTCGGACCTTGGTCCCCCCCCAGGACTTTGACCGGCTGCTGGAGGCCCTGCGGGCTGCCCTCACCAAGGACCCGGGCACCGGCGTCGTGTTCAGCTGCCTCAGCGGCCAGGGCCGGACCACGACCGCCATGGTGGTGGCTGTGCTGGCCTTCTGGCACATGCAAGTACGTGTGGCCTGTCACGTGAGGCGGGTGGGCACTCAAGCCCTGGGGACATGTGGCGGGAAGGTGTGGGGGTCAGAGACAGCCTGATGTGGTCCCCAGTACCCTCCTGCCGGTCCTGTGTGGCCCCCGGCAAGGAGCTGCTGGTGTGGGGGGTGCAGCCTGGGGAGGGTGCTCCCGTCCCAGCAGCTGTCCTCCCCAGGGCTTCCCCGAGGTGGGCGAGGAGGAGCTCGTGAGCGTGCCTGACGCCAAGTTCACGAAAGGCGAGTTTCAGGTGAGCACCGCCTGGGGGGCCCTGGGGTAGTGGAGGGAGGGGAGGAAGAGGAGTCCTGCTGGCAGGTCTGGGGGTCCTCAGCCTCTTCCCAGTTCTGTCACCCCTTCCACCTCATCATGTCAGTGCTCCCCTGCTCCCATTTCACAGATGAGCCAGCAGAGGCACGGGGCAGCTTGGCTCGGGGGCCCTGGCATGTGGCTACTGGAGATGAGGCTGGACCCCCCTCCCGCCTGGCCCTGCTGCAGGGCTGCTGTGTGCCCTGGGGAGGTCACTGGCCACCATCCGGGTAATGTTGGTGACAGCCTCCCAGGCACGTGGGAGCCGGCTGTGGTTGGTGACCTTGGTGCGGGGCCCCAGCGCCCTCTGCCCTGCCCATTCCTCGTCTCAGAGCGCTGGGTGGGCAGTTCCAGATTCAGCCATTCATGTGTCCTGCCTGCCGTGCCGCGGGTCATCTTCTCAGACATCCCCTGAGTAGGTGGCAGTGTCCCCCCAGAGTTGGCATGTGGCCGTCCCGCAGTCGGTGGCACGGTCAGCTCCTGCCTCCCCTCTCTGGCCGCCTTCACCGCGAGCCCGTGCCCTGCTCCTGCTGCCGTCCTGCCACCCTGGCCAGCGTGCAGTTCCTCAGGCGTGCCGGGCCCTCGCAGCCCCCGGGCCTTTGCAAATGCTCTTCCTTCTCTCAGGCCTCTTCTTTTTCTTTCTTCCGGCAGATCCTCTGGTGCTTTTCTCTTTTTTATTGTGGTAGAAGGTAGATGACAAAATTTGCCATTTTAACCATTTTAACTGTGCATTTCAGTGGCATTAAGTATACAATACATTTACCATCCCACCACCCATCTAACTTCTGTCATCTTGCAAAACAGAGACTCTGTCCCCATTAAACATGAACTCCCCACCCCCTCCCCCGACCCGGCGACCACCATTCTCCTTTCTGTCTCTGTGGATTGGAACACTCTAGGGACCTCATGTAAGTGGAACCACACGGCATTTGTCTCCTTGTGGCTGGCTCGTTTCCCTGAGCATAACGTCCTCAAGGTTGAGCCACGTTGTAGCATGTGTCAGGATTTCTTTCCTTTTTTTAAGGCTGAATCATATTCCGGCATGTGGATATACCATATTTTGTTTATCCTTTCATCTGTCGATAGACACTTGGGTTGCTTCCACCTCTAAGCTACTGTGAATAGTGCTGCTGTGAACACAGGGGTGCAGGTATCTGTTCAAGCCCCTGCTTGAGTTCTTTCGGGTGTGTCCCTGGAAGTGGAATTGCTGGGTCGTATGGTAATTCTGTTTACTTTTTGAGAAACTGCCATACTGTTTTCTAGAGCAGCTCCTCTATTCTGTACTCCCACCAGTAGCGCACAAGGTTCTAGTTTTTCCACATCCTCACCAACACCTGATTTCTGGGGTTTTTTTTGACAATAGCCGTCTTGATGGGTATGAGTTGGTGGTATCTCATTCTGGTTTTGAGTTGCATTTCCCTAATGATGAGTCATGTTGAATATCTTCTCATGTGTTCATTGGCCATTTGCATATCCTTTTGGAAGAAATGCCTATTCAAGTCCTTTGCCCATTTTTGAATTGGTTGTTTTTTTGTTGTTGAGTTTTAGGAGTTCTTTTTTTTTTTTTTTTTTGATTTTTGACATATTTTATTCAGATAGCAGTCTGATCACACATGGTCCAAGAATACTCAAATAAGTCAAATATAATCAGATGTTAAAGACTGGTCTTCAAACATCGTAGCCAATGATGCCACGCTTGCCTATGATCTCTCTGACATAAAACCACATCCACACCTCAGTGGCCACCAAACCATTCAGCATGGCTTCCTTAACTGTAAGCTGTTTGTAGCTACCAGTTTGAGCACTATTGACTATTTTTTTCAGGCTCTGAAAAGCTCTAGGGATCTCAGCAGGGGTTGGAGGAGCCAGCTCAACCTTGGCGTAGTACCAAAATGTGGCCAATCGAGGCTTCGAATAAGTCACAGCAGCGTTCACAAGTGCGGGGGCCTTCTCTGCCAGGTTACGGACAAATTGAGCCATGGTGCTAGAACAGAATGTCCGTCGCCCCAAAAGGCCGGCTGAATGTCCGTTTTAGGAGTTCTTTATATATTCTGGAAATTAATCACTTACATGTGATTTGCGAATATTTTCTCCTGTTTTATGAGTTGGCTGTTGTTTAGGAAAAACACTAGAAGCATGCCCTTCCTCTGCCCTCACGCCAACACGGACGATCGTGAACGCAGAAAAAGACTTATGCGACCAAATGTGGGGTGGTTTCCCCCACACACTGAGCAGCAGACACTAGCTGGGCGTCCTGTAATTTAAGTAAGGTACTGTCTACGTGGAGATAGTGTCAGATCCCACAGGTTGAGGGCTCAGTCCCCCAGACTGCCCCGTCCCTTTAGACACCAGTTGCAAGTCCTGGCCTCCAGAACTTCTGACAGAGCAGCCATAGATTTGGGATTCCACAACCCCCTCTTTGGGTTTGATGAAATTGCTAGAGCGGCTCACAGAACTCAGGGAAACATGTTTACTGGTTTATATGGACGGATATTACAAAGGATACAGATGAAGAGATGCGTGGTGCGAGGTATGGGGGAAGGGACACGGGGCTTCCCTGCCCTCCCAGGGCTCAGCACTCTCCAGGAACCTCCTCGCGTTCGGCTGTCTGGGAGCTCTCCGAACCCAGTCCTCTTGGGTTTTTATGGAGGCGTCATGACAACCGTGGAGAGATGTGATTGGACAAAAAGCACATGGCCTAAACCCAGCAAAGACTGACTGTTCAGATTCCTCGTGGCTTCTCTGTGCAGTATTCCTTCCTCTAGGCTATGGGGCAGGACCCTGTCTGGAGTGAGGGTCTTTGGACCCACAGTCAGATTAGAGTCCTGCCTTGGGCAGGTGACGGGGGGACAGGAGTCAGATTCTGTCTCCTGAGGCCTAAAGTGCCCAGCGTTATAACAAGGACTATGGGGGTTATGAGCGTGTCCTTTGTTGCACAGGTTTTCAATTTGGCTGAAATCCAGTTTGTCTGTTTTTTCCTTTTGTTGCCTGTGCTTTTTTTTTTTTTTTGAGACAGAGTCTCGCTTTGTTGTCCAGGCTAGAGTGAGTGCCGTGGCATCAGCCTAGCTCACAGCAACCTCAAACTCCTGGGCTCAAGCGATCCTTCTGCCTCAGCCTCCCGAGTAGCTGGGACTACAGGCATGCGCCACCATGCCCGGCTAATTTTTTATATATATATCAGTTGGCCAATTAATTTCTTTCTATTTATAGTAGAGACGGGGTCTCGCTCTTGCTCAGGCTGGTTTTGAACTCCTGACCTTGAGCAATCCGCCCGCTTCAGCCTCCCAGAGAGCTAGGATTACAGGCGTGAGCCACCGCGCCCGGCTATTGTTGCCTGTGCTTTTGGTGTTGTATCCAAGACATCATCACCAAGTCTGAAGTCATGAAGCTTTTCCCTCGTGTTTTATCTTACGACTTTTATAGTTTTACCTCTTATGTTTCGGTCTCTGATCCATTTTGAGTTCATTTTTGTAGATGGTGTAAGGCAAGGGTCCAGCCCCAGTCTTTTGCACGTGGATACTGTTTTCCCTGTTTGTTGAAGAGACTGTCCTCTCCCCAGTGAATGGTCTCCGCACCCTTGTCGAACACCATTTGCTTGTATATACAGGGGCTTATTTTCCAGCTGAAGTCTTAGTCTTCACGTCTATCTCTCGGATGTGGTAGTTAGCACTGTCCTTCCTCACCAGCCCCTGTGCTAGGAGGTTTGTGTGCACGCCCTTCCCCCCCCAGACAATCCTGGAGGGGTAGGTGCCCTTACTACTCCCAGTTTGCAGATGAGAAAACTGAGGCACAGGGAGCCCCATTACCCGACAGCCACGGCAGAGAAATGGCTGTGGACCTCAGAGCCTGTGTTCCAAAGTTACATTGTGTGACCTGAAGACACTCCTGTATCCCGTCCTCACCCACCCGCAGATTGTCCTGTGTCTGGAGCAGCTTCCTTTGCAGTTGATTTGGCATTTACTGGGCCCACGGTTGGGGGGAGCACTTTAGAGCATGGAGAGGCCCAGAGCAGACATCAGGGCTGAGGGCTCAGGGTGTGGCAGTGGGAGCCTAAGAGGGCTTCCTGGAGGAGGTGATATTTGAGCACCTTTTGGGAAGATGAGCAAGTGTGGCTGGTGAGGAGGGAAGTGGGCAGAGATCAGGTGTGCAAAGGAGGGATTCTGGAAGGGCAGGAACTGTGTAAGGCTGTGATTAGCTGAGGGGTGGCCCTGATTGTGAAGACCCTGGAGGGCTGCACTATGTTTGACCTTGGCCTTGAGGCCAGCAAGGAGGCAGCAGAGGTCACGAAGGGACTTTCAGTGTGGGGGCTCTGGCCGGCAGCTGTGGGAGGGGTGCATGGAGTGGGGGACTGGGAAGGAGGGGAGAGGCAGGGCTGAGTGAGGGGGCTGCGGGGTGGGCAGGAGCAACCTAGTCCCAATTGGTAGGTCTTGCGGGTCACTGGGTGTGGGGCAAGGAGGGCACTAGGATGACCTTGGGTTTCTGGCTTTGTGGTGGTGACAGCCAGGGATGCAGAATTCAGGGGAGGAGCAGCTTCAGAAGACAGGCCAGGAGTCTGGTTTCCTGCCCAAAGCTGCAGCCCTCTGCCAGGAGCCCCCCAGGGGACATAGTCCCCTGCATCCTCCTGGGGACCAGCTCAGAGTCCAGGTTTGGGGTATGGACTGGGCAGCTTCCTCCCTCTCCCCTGGGCACAGCCTGAGCCAAACCCACCACCAGTTCCTTCCAGACTATGCAGTTCTCTCCTCTCACTTGGGTGCGGCTCCATGCCTGCTGGCTGCGCCGCCCTGGGGCAGGCCTTGCTGAGAAACGCAGGCAGAGCCTTTCCCTGTTCGCACTCGGCAGCTGGAGCGGAGAGGAGAGAGAGTCAGGTTAGGTGTTCGTGTGTTCATTCACGGGGCAGCTGTTGATGGGCACCCAGCAGGTGCCAGGCTGAAAGTGAGCAACGGATGCAGGCAGCTGTCGACCACCTAGGGGCTCTGCAAGGACAGTGCAGGTGTGGGGGGGGGGGCTGTGGGGAGGGGTTCTGGCGAAGCTGGAGAGGCGGGGGCCAGGCCATAGACCTGGGTCCGCTTTTGGAGCTGTGAGGAGGCTGAGCCAGGGAATTATATTTATATTTTCATGAGACCTCCGGCCACCAGGGAGAGGAGGGGCAGGGAAGGAGGCTGGGACACCAGTTCGGGGTGAGAGGAGGCAGAGGTCTGGGTGGGTGCTGGCTGTGGAGGGGTGCAGTGCGGGCAGATTTGGAGGCGGGGCCCAGAGGGTGGGGCCAGAGGGATAGGGGAAGAGCCCTGTCCTCCAGGGTGACCTGCCTAGGCCTCAGTTTTCCCAGGAGTGAAGGGGGCTTACTTATATCAGGTGAGTGGTGTCCCTGCTGGGTTCTCCAGAGCCAGGTGTCCCCACGGTGCTTGGGGGCCACTTTGGGTCAGGGGGAGGCCAGGAGGACCCCAGCATGGACTTGTCATGCACCCTCTCCTCACCCCACCAGCCCTAGTATGTGACAGCTATCCATTTTATAGAGCTTTGTTCTGGACAAAGTTTCGTTTGAAGCAAGGTTTCTGCGGCTTAAAAAAACAAGCCCCTGAGTCAGCTTAGCATTCCACAGGTGTGTGGGGGGCCGTGTTTATATCCTGTAACACAAAGCATACCAAACGGCAATTCTGAGTCGCAGTCATGCATTTAATATGTCTTGAACAATTTAAAATCACTTCTATTCCCATGTTGTTTAGTAGAATTTTTTCCTAAAGGAAACCACTCCTTGTCTGTGCTCTCCCTGGCAGAACTGCGTGGCTCCGTAACACCTTTGGCCAGGTGGGCCGGTTTTCCTGATGGCTTTCTTAATGTGCTGTGGCAGATTGGAGTTTGAGTACGCAGTGTGAGTCTAGAGTACTAAATTGTAGCTTGGTGGGACTCCTGCAACAGCTTGTCAGCATTTGAAGACGTTAGTACCCGGTATCCTCTTACGGGAAAGTTGCCTCCAGGTTTTAAGCTGGAAAGTTATCTAAAGAAGAACTGCAATACATGGCTTTTAGATTTGTCAGCACTTGCATTAAGAATTGTACACAAATCTGAATTATGAAAGGAAAATAAAGAGCACCTTGGGAACCCCAGCCTCAGAGATGTCCGGAAGCCCAGCCTGGGACCCGAGGAGCAGGCCGGGCTCTGGTCAGGGCCTGTGCCCTCGCCCCGTGTGGCCCTTTGGTGGGGCTGATCCTGGTGCCGGGCCGCAGGCTCCCACCGGCTCTCAGTTTGGAGTCTGCTCATCCCCCTCCTCGGGCCCCAGGTGGTGATGACGGTGGTGCAGTTGCTGCCCGACGGGCACCGCGTGAAGAAGGAGGTGGACGCAGCGCTGGACACGGTCAGCGAAACCATGACGCCCATGCACTACCACCTGCGGGAGATCATCATCTGCACCTACCGCCAGGTGAGTCTGCCCGTCCCGCCCCATCCCGCCCCATCCCGCCCCAGGTGCCCTCGGGGTGTGCACAGCCCGGGTTGTGGCTGGTGTGGGTTTGAGGTGGCTTGAGGTCCTGTGGGCCCCTCATCGGCTCTCTGTTCCTTTTCCACCTTCTGGAAGTGGCAGTGATCTCTGAAATGGACACATGCCCAGCCTCCGGCCACTCCCACCTGGTGCTGCACTGCACGGTGGGGTGTGGGCAGGGATGATGTTCAAAGTGTTTGGCCCTGGGACCAAAGATGTGGCCAACCAGAATGAACACCCAACCCCTTCATGGTGCCAGGTGTTAACCCTCTAGGTTTTAGATTCTTGGGGGCCCAGGGGTTCTGGGCAGGAGGTCGGTGGGTGAAGGCTGTTTGGTCTTGAGGAATAGCTGCTTAAGAACCAGCAGGTGAGGCCAGGCATGGTGGCTCACGCCTGTAATCCTAGCACTCTGGGAGGCCGAGGCGGGCGGATTGCTCTAGGTTGGGAGTTCAAAACTAGCCTGAGGGAGACCTCGTCTTTACTAAAAATAGAAACAAATTAATTGACCATCTAAAAAATATATATACAAAAAATTAGCTGGGCATGGTGGGGCATGCCTGTAGTCCCAGCTACTCGGGAGGCTGAGGCAGCAGGATTGCTTGAGCCCAGGAGTTTGAGGTTGCTGTGAGCTAGGCTGACACCACGGCACTCATTCTAGCCTGGGCAACAAAGTGAGACTCTGTCTCAAAAAAAAAAAAAAAATAGAACCAGCAGGTGAGCAGTTTAGTGTTTTAATAGCTGATGCTGCCGTGCGGAGTCCCGGCTGTCACCCCAGGATGCG